CACAAAGATTGTGTGAAAATTACTTACTTAAAATAGCAGATAAATCTGTTGTAAGGGGATTTAAATTTGAGTTAACATGTCAAGGAATGATTTGAAGTTATTAAATATTTTCTATTTTTAGAAAAACATTAAACTGATTTGTGAAAACATTTTTTCACAATTGAATGTCTTTTCCAGTGCTAATTCAGGTAACTGATTACCATAAATTACCACTCCATTTTCAACAAGAATTATAGTTTGTCAGTCAAATATGTTTTTGATTAAATCTCAGGTCCGAAATTTTGATATATCAAATCTTTTGTGTACGTTTTTGTAAATATTTTCTACTTTATTGAAGGAATACGATGCAGGCATGACATAATGGAGGAGGCTTGAGCGTAATCCCTTGTTGATTAATGGGGATGTTGGGTGAGTGGTGTTCCACTTTGCCACTATGCTGTATAGGTACCAATGTAAGATTGGATTAATAAATATCCTACAAAGACAGCTGACGTAATGTACTGCAGCACAAACATATTGATAAGAGGAAAAGTGTTTCTCTAAAAGGAATTGTGTGAACTCAGGGTGAACTACTGGATAGATTTCCAAACAGAATACCAAGTGATTGAAGTCTCATTTTTGTGGTCCTAGATCATGTGGGAGGCATATGTTTGAGGTTTGTTTAGAGTATATGTACTGAAGCAAAGTGCAAATGAGCTACTGTTGAGGATACACATAGGGTCAAAGTGACCAGATTGTCACCTTGGCCAGTGGTACTGAGAAGGTGAGGTGTCTCTAAGGTATAGTGGATAAGTTTTAACACAAGGTCAGAATGAGTGTGCCCCTACACACTGCCAGCTTAATGGGACCTCCAGCTATGGATTCCCCTCCCAACTCTGCTCCGTCAGAGGAAAGTGTGTACCAAGGCAAAGATGGGATGCTTCTCAAACTGCCTACCAGCAGCAACCTCCTCAGTCGTCTTTATGCCAACAATGGTGTTCGCATTAGGATGCATGTCGGACGAAAGAATAAGCCGCCAAAAATACCTACAGTACGAGACCTGATAGATCAGTTCTCTAAAAAGCATGAACGACTTCTTCTCCAAGAGATTGAAGAGAAAAAGGTCAGGTAAGGTGACAAATTGTTATTTCAGATGATGGAAGGAATACTCAATTGAGAAGTAGATAGATGTTGAGAGTAAAAGGATTGAGGGAAAACAGTATTAATTAAGCGGCTAGCAACTGTTCTGCCAACAGTGACTTTTCAAATCTTAGCAATGCATCTCAATACGATATATGATTCTTTGTGAAAGGAATTTGGATACTGATATGGTTTGAGTACATGCATCTGTTTATAAGTCTAACCTAGTAGACTGATCTAAGAATCAATTTAATGCTATGGTTTGGTAGAAATCATAATTATTGAACCTAAGACCGTTTTTTACTTGTACCAAAGTCTATCTACAGAACATTACCTCCCTATAGAGGCTAGGACATTTTGTGTAAGGTTTAGCAGTACATTCACTGAGTGAACCAGAATTACAGCAAGATATTTGATTACATAACAGCACGATGCAAAGTGTTTTCATTGAAAGGAATGTGCTAAGGTCTTTGTGTCAGACAATTAAAAAAAATAGCTGTCAATATTTACTGAAACAGGAGATCCTACACAATTAAGTCTGTCTGGTGACAAGGAGTGACTTTATGAACCAAACGATTGTAGGACAGCAATATCACCTGATTATCTGTGTAACTGATACTAATCAAATTATGTCAGCAATGTACATAATACATGTACCTGGTAACTGTTGATATGTCTGCAAATCTTACGATAAATTGAGAAAAAAATTCATGTTAAAAATGATAATGAACTACCTCTCTGTACTGTTTGTGATTTGTTTATTTACTCCATGGTTGCTGAACAGTTGATTATTAAATAGCACATGTTTATGGTATTGTTATGGTATTTTTTTGTCCTTCAGTAAGTCATGGGGCTAACACTCAACACCCAAAGCCCATGGGTTGGCCAATGCTTAAGGGTGGGCTTATTACAGAATAGTGATATGACATTGGTTTCCATCCACTAGATAATGAGTTCAGATTGCTTGTTATGGACATAAAGGTTTTATTGGTGATATACAGATAAAAACGTCTTCATGAGAAATAGCTCAGGTTTTAAAGTGAACAATTTCAATGCTTATAAAACAGATACTGGAACTGGAATGAATTTAAATACAAAATCCATCTATATGCTGCAGAACTGTCACTCTCTTTTAAACCGTTTTTTCGTATCTCGAAGTGGGAGAGAGATCATGATAGTCTTCAAAATCTTGAAATAATGCCTTATTTGAATTTTAAGCTGTACTGTGCAATGCAGTAATATAAGTAATTAAGCAAAATAAAAACTTAACAATTTTTAGGGACAATGATCAGGAATTTACCTAAGATTAGCGAGGATTTAAAAAACGTATAGAATGCAGATTTTTTGACTCCATGCACTTCATGTTGTTGTATGGTATGTGTATAATTTGAAACTGGGGCAATATACCTGGACAAAACCATTAATTCCTTGCTTGAAAGCTTTCATGATAGTATTTTTACTTTTATGGAGAAAGATTGAAAGGCATGATATATAGCTCTAACATTTCTTTAAAATAACAACTTAGAAGTGAAAGTCTAAACAGCAATCTTGGAAGATTTCCAGTTTTTGCCTGATGACTTAAATTCTGAGATATTAATTTTCACACCCGATGGGTAACAATTTTTTTACTTTTGATATGCGTCTATTTGTACAACTGGTAAATATGGCAGTTTTTTTGACAGGTAAATATTGGAAACTCGCTTGATGTCTTCATACCTTTAATTTATCTATTAATTTTATAAGAGATGATAAATAATGTGGGTCTTTCATGTCTTATTTTTCAATCTTTAATCACTGTGACAGTTTTCTAGTAATGGTTGGACCTGACAGATGAAATGCCAGGCCTGTAAATGTATATCTCACCAGGGTGTTTCGTAGATTTACAGGAGCTTAGACATCAATCACCTAACAATCCTATGCTATACTGAAATGCATATTAAATCCTATTTCTGTATGGTTATTGACAGTTCTTCCCTAGTTTCACAATTAGTCAAGTAGGATTTCATGTAGAATCCAGACCACTGTACAACCTTACAACATTTAGCAATTTAATTTCAATGATTTAAAAAGAATGATGAGTGTAATTTACTCTAGGTGTTAGGAATCTATATACCTGGAGGAAAGCATTACAATTTCTGACATATCTTGTGTAATCTTAAATTTGCTGTTAAATTGTGCTCTATATGTTGCAGTATGAGCAGTCTTAATGCACATCAGCGGAAGCAAAAGTCTTACTAGTGCCATACATTAAGACGCCTGTGCTCTGTGTCTTTCGTTTTTCTGTTCATCAATACATGTTTTCAGTACTTTGCTGCAAATATTGCAGTAGATTTCTTTGAATACAAAGTCCAGATTGAGTGTAGTTTAAGTATTAGGATGTTTAGCATGACAAAAAGTCCTATTTGACCTCAGATAATACTGTAGGATCCACCCATAGTATCTCTAGGTCATATACCAATTGACTTCACCCATTATAAAGGTTTTGAACAAACCTCAACTGCATAAGAAATGACAGAGTTTTCGTAATACTCTAACAACAGAAGGAAATATAGTGAGTGTGAATATTGCAGATAATATATCCCAATATAGGATGAAATATACATAACAAAAGGTTTTAAAAGTTAGTGAAACCTTCGAAAGCAAATATTGAAAAGTTTATGAAAAGTTTAAATTTACATTTGTAATGGAAACAAAGTTGTGATTCTTTTGAACATTTAGTAAAAATTTGCACATGTATTGTAGAAAATATGCCTTTCCATGTCAGTCTTGATGATGTATACTGATTGATCACTATATAAAGATAATACAATAAGATTATTAATGAAAATCTGGAGAACACTATTTATCAAAACAACACTGGGAAAAGTGAACTTATTATTATGAATATTTCACCTGAAATTACAGATTTTAGAGGCTGAGATAGAAGAACATAGAGAGATTCTGACACTAAGTCATTTTGCTTGATTTACCTGACTTGTACTTAGAATTTCAGGAAAAGTGTATTTTTCCTGTTTTTGTGCCAGTATTATCACATACACAATTCTAGTTGTAACATAAAATACTTGTACATGTGTTTGTCTGAACCACAGGATGATATGACTTTGGTTCCGTGTGAAGTTTTACAAGTCTATGTGAATGGCCTAGTGGGAGTGTAACCCACGTTGATCTGTACTGTGTATATAAAAATCCAATTAAGCCTGATTAGTTTCATAGTATGGTTTAATTAAGTATGTGAGATTGTAGGTTTTAATACAGCGTTGACTTGACATGTCGTTGACTTTACCTTTGTAACAGAAACATTAGCGTCTGACATGAGTTTTGATGAATTGTTCAAAACACAATACAATACAAATGTCTGCATGTAAAGGGGACATCCTGTGGTGGACATTCCGAAACATAAGCTGTGGCTGTTTGTCTTCTGCATTAATGTTCGCTTTATGGGTATATAGTTACAAGGTAAAAGGATTTAATCCTAATCTTCTTGATATACAGTCATCAACAATGTAAATATGATCCAATATGAAGAGAATATCTATGGCTGTCACATGAAGGCATTGAAGTGACAAAATTGGCACCATATCTGGGAGATGTTTATCACTGTGCACTTAGGTTCGTGGCTGGCAGTTCACCACAATCATTCTGTGATATTGCCATGTAAAGAAAACCTGGGAAATATCTGGTTTATCATTAGGATGGTTATTACCTACCTGCAGATTGAAACAGTGATGAAATACACTAATTAATTCTGGTGTAGAACAAATATGCTTTAGCCTTTTAACATGAGTACAAAAGGAATTGGAGCTGTGGAGTTGCCTCTGAGGTATCTGGAATGGCACCTAGTTCAGAAGTTGCTGTAAAGTAGATATAATATTTGTTTCATTATGGTGAAGGTTTCAAGAGCAGATGCAAGAGTCAAGAATGGAGGCCATAGTAATTCAGGAGATTTGAAGCTACCTCGACTGGTCCTCCGAGAGACCAAAGTCAAGCGCCGTCTGCTCCATCCTGTGCCAGATTCAGTAAAATTGGCCCAGCTCCGTCAGTACCTGCGCCAGACACCTGCGCAGCCTGCAGAGGGAGCTGGGCCAGATGCTGTGGCAGACATTACCTCTAGGGTGAGGCTGCTACACCTCCCCGATATTGTACCAGTTGACACATTCCATATTGAAAAGATGTCAACAGCCTTTGCTGTGTGTGAGGCTAACAATGTGATTGTGAGAGCAGAGGAGCAAGCCACTGCAAAGAATGGGTTGGGATTCCACAAACCAGATCTTCTCTGTACTTGCAATATGTGTGAGTCATTCAATATGAAGGCACCTAAACTTCTCTACCGCAAACAACTAGAAAAGGTAATTATGGTCCAAACTATTACTAAATAAGTTAAAACTTCTTGTCTTTATCATGCTGACTACAATACGATATGTGTTCTACGATGTAAGAGAGTCTAAGTATCCTGTACTTACTGGAATCAATTCAGAGCTGGAAAGTTTTCTTTCACAAATTGTTACCTTTGTTAAAAGTAAAGCCCTAAATTAAGGTTAGAATTAGGGGAGGTTTCAGTGTTTATGATTTTTTTTTAAGTAAATGTTAATGAGAGAATTTAATATTTTGACAAAGATCATGGGTTGATAGTGCATCACACCTTATAGTGGCAGTGTTATATATGAAGCATTGACATGAAGTACCAGGGTAGGTTACAGAAACTAAATTCTTTATTGGCAAATAAGAAAAGCTTTTTAATGTTCTTTTACAATTAGTTCATATTTTGATCATGTTTAACTTGAAACAGAAATTAGGATGACAAAATATATCCATTTCACAGTGAAACAGTGGAACAGTGGAACCATAAGGGGGATAACTCTTGCTGTACACAAATTCAATTAAATGTACCTAATAACATTTTAGATTTTAACCTGTACTGAGATTGGTAATCCCTAAAAAAATGTTTATCTTTATAAATAGTCTTACATTTGATTACAAGGTCAGATACAAAATTGTTTTAATATTCTGTAGCTACTGGCACAACTCCCATTGGAGACAATCACTTTGATCTATAGAAGAATTCTAACTGTTGAATGAAACTATCATAATGTTTGTCTTTCTGTATAGTGCTATAGTATCCTACAAAAGATAGTCCTTATCCAATAGGTTCATATATATTTATGCATGTGAAATGTGGCCTATCAACAGAAAAATGGCTTATATCTGGTGATCTTAGGAGCTGTTCTAAAGAGTCTGGTGGGACTGTTAGGTCTATACTGCCACATTGGTAATCAGGATATCATTTAAATAGTTCAATAATAACAGGTCCTCACACTCGGACAAATGTGTTCATCGATATGGTAAACAAGACAATAGCCTATCTGTTACTCGTACGTGGGCCACATATTGTTATACACAAGTCAACGTACATACAAGAACACCAATTTTCTGTTGGATCTTTTTGACTGCTCGAGTTGACAGCACACATGATACCATCTCTTTTGTCTCACCTAACTAAAAATACTCGGTTTCTAAACATGCTTTACTAGCTTGTTTGACACCATTTGGATAGGACATGGTGACCAACATGTATTGCCAACGTAAGTAACTATTTTACCAGAATCTGTTTGAAATCTGTGTTATCACTGCAGGTACTATGTTGATAAATTGTGATAGAGTAGTAATTAAGCATTGACATAGAATATCAATTTGGGTGTATCACATTGCAATTTTGTAAACATAGGTGTCAAGAGTCTAGACTGTTTCAAGATAGGTTCTGTTCAAATTGTCGCCACACACTATACACTGTCAGCCAGTCATGTTGCCACATTAAACTTATTAGAGCTGGAATTCAAAGCTGTGAAAAGATTGAAATATTAATTTGGCTAGAGGTAATGCTGCACTGTTGGGCAGCTAACCATAAATGGGTGTTAGTGTGTTATGAAATGTGTGGCTCCAACAGCAGTGCAGGCATTTGTTTCCATGCACTGTAGGGGTATCCTTGTGGTGGGGCCATGGACAGCCCCCAGCAGGAGGACCTCCTCCACAAGGTTGGTACAGGATCCAGGGAGGTCAGACAATAGGGATAGTCCTGTAGTTTGTATTGCAGCAGTTTTGCACATAGAGAGCTATGTATACGGCTACATATAACCATATTCATATAGGGATTAGTACAGAAATATAAACCTGTTATCGTACAGGTTGAAATGAATGCAGGATTAGTTTTAATGTTGTAGGTCTCATTTAGAATGTGAATTAAACCAAGGTAGGATACAAGTAACATATTTCATTTTCTTCATGGTAGTTAGCAGTTTTTGATGTGGATCCTTTGTAAATTGATGTTTGATCAGTATGTAAGGTTTAAACTTTCCTTTGCTGATTTTGTATGGGTTTCTGTATGATTAAGTTCTAGATTGTTATCACCTGACATATTCTAGATGTATTGACCTGTCTGAAAAATCTCTTTAGCTGTCCAGTCTGTTACTTTCCAACTGTCTGCGAATCACACTGGGATATGTGGTTATAAGCTATTGTCTCTGTACACTTTGTGGACATTTAGTAGATGCTCCGAATCAGGTCTACACATCACAACATGACAGACATTGGTATGTATCAGAATTGTACCCTTTTCAAAGCATTCAGAGATAGAAGATAGGATACTGGGTAGGTCTAAACTTCATACATTTTAAAGCTGTTGGTATTTACTGTATTTGAAGTCCATGAATAATGATATACATGTTTAATCATGATAAGGTAATTTAGACGACAAAGTTTGCACCAGGTGTTCAAATAATCCTTTTGAGCCTGTTATCTTAAATCAATGCAAAATAGAACTTTAATTCAGTAAATAACCTGTTTCGAGAATTATCAGTTTTTGATACATTTAATCTTGACAAATTTATTGAAAAAATGACTTTTTGAAAAACAATCAGATATAGACAATAAGCATAAATAGAATTTATGAGTCCCTAGGTTTGTTGGTTACATTTAGAAAATAGCGCTACTTATAGTATGGTTATGAGGTAAGGATCAGCATCTAGGTTCAATTTAGTGCAGGTTGAATTCTGTGTCCATTTCATTTAGAAGTATGTTTATCATGTTATCAAAAGCCTTTACTTGTTAAGCTGTACAGATTTCCCCCCCCCCCCCCCCTTTATTATATATATAGAACTTCTGCATGATACTGCACTGTATGTAATATTTTGCCAATATAGTATGACAAAGTATCAACCTATAATTTTAACCAAAACAAAAAGCAGACACATCTAAAATCATTTTATTTAAAAAAAATGTAACTGTTAAAACCACAACTTCCCCTGATTCTAACAACAATTTGGGAAGAAATCATTGTAGATTTTGACCCTTGAATTTTTTTTGATTTCTTTGCTTGTGCAACGTAAGACCACAGACTGGCATTGATCTATGTTAGAGTAACTATAGTCACAATATACACTTAATAGTAATTATAATGTGTTCATTAGAATTCTGACTTATTTTAAGTATCAATATTATAGCCATGCAAATTTATACTTTGTTCAAAATGATTCCCTTATCATGTTCAGGGGTTTTAGATCAGCATTCACACTTGAATAAGACTTAATTATGGATGATCATTTTTGAGTTGAATGGACATACTTTGATATAGGTTTTAAATTTTTCTTCAATTCTCAATCCGGTTTTAATGTCAAATGTCAACAAAAATGCTTATATATTTATATACAATACTGTAAACCTTTTGTATGGTTACATGTTGAAGATGGGATGTGCAGTTGTTGCCCATAGTAATCACACATGTCTCTTCGTCCGTTAGTGTTGTACGCCTTTGTGTTTATAACAAACAGCTTCTGTAGAAGATATCCAAGGAATCTTTCAATAGATTTCATTCATACCAATAGTATTGGAACCTCAGGTTCTACACCTGATCACAATCTATTGGTCGTGGTTTTGTGTCCAACATAACATTTAATCCCTTTATAGTCTCTTAACAGTTTCCCGATGAAAAAGTTGTTTGCACATTCCGGAATATCTTATATACGCTTCATAAAGTCTTATGGCCTTATTTAGAAGGCTTGGTCACAAAAATACTCAAGTTTAAAGCTGTCATCTGAAATATTGTTTCTGCAATCTTATTTTCTACAATATGATTATAAAAATCCCCTTTTCTTACATTAATTTTACAGCCGTCTATATACCATTGCCTGGCCATAGTACTGTCATGAAAATCTTAATTTCCCACAGTATAGTAACAGCAATCTCTTTGTGCATAGTACTGTCATGGCAATCTTAATTTCCCACAGTTTTGTTACAGCAATTTCTGTTGTTCACTATATCGTTACAACAATCTCTGTTGTCCTCTCTATTGTTACAGAAATCTCTGTTGTCTACTTTATTGTTACAGCAATCTCTGTTGTTACAGCAACCTCTGGTGCCCACAATGTTGTTACAGCAATCTCTGTTGTCCACAATTGTTACAACAATCTCTATTGTTACAGCAACCTCTGGTGCCCACAATACTGTTACAGAAATCTCTGTTGTCTACTTTATTGTTACAGCAATCTCTGTTGTTACAGCAACCTCTGGTGCCCACAATACTGTTATAGAAATCTCTGTTGTCCACTATTGTTACAACAATCTCTGTTGTTACAGCAACCTCTGGTGCCCACAATACTGTTATAGCAATCTCTGTTGTCTGCTTTATTGTTATAGCAATCTCTGTTGTTACAGCAACCTCCCACAGTACTGTTACAGCAATCTCTGTTGTCTACTTTATTGTTACAGCAATCTCTGTTGTTACAGCAACCTCTGGTGCCCACAATACTATTACAGAAATCTCTGTTGTCCACTATTGTTACAACAATCTCTGTTGTTACAGCAACCTCTGGTGCCCACAATACTGTTATAGCAATCTCTGTTGTCTGCTTTATTGTTATAGCAATCTCTGTTGTTACAGCAACCTCCCACAGTACTGTTACAGCAATCTCTGTTGTCTACTTTATTGTTACAGCAATCTCTGTTGTTACAGCAACCTCTGGTGCCCACAATACTATTACAGAAATCTCTGTTGTCAACTATTGTTACAACAATCTCTGTTGTCCACTATTGTTACAACAATCTCTGTTGTTCATTCTATAGTTACAGCAATCTCTGTTGTCCACTATCGTTACAGCAATCTCTATTGTCCACTATTGTTACAACAATCTCTGTTGTTCACTCTATTGTTACAGCAATCTCTGTTGTCTACTTTATTGCTACAGCAATCTCTGTTGTTACAGCAATCTCTGTTGTCTACTTTATTGCTACAGCAATCTCTGTTGTTACAGCAACCTCTGGTGCCCACAATACTGTTACAGAAATCTCTGTTGTCTACTTTATTGTTACAGCAATCTCTGTTGTTACAGCAACCTATGGTGCCCACAATACTGTTACAGAAATCTCTGTTGTCTACTTTATTGTTACAGCAATCTCTGTTGTCCACTGTATTGTTACAGCAATCTCTGCTGTCCACTCTGTTGTTACAGCATTCTCTATTTTCCACTGTTTTGTTACAGCAATCTGTTGTTACAGCAACCTCTGGTGCCCACAATACTGTTACAGAAATCTCTGTTGTCTACTTTATTGTTACAGCAATCTCTGTTGTTACAGCAACCTATGGTGCCCACAATACTGTTACAGAAATCTCTGTTGTCTACTTTATTGTTACAGCAATCTCTGTTGTCCACTGTATTGTTACAGCAATCTCTGCTGTCCACTCTGTTGTTACAGCATTCTCTATTTTCCACTGTTTTGTTACAGCAATCTGTTGTTACAGCAACCTCTGGTGCCCACAATACTGTTACAGAAATCTCTGTTGTCTACTTTATTGTTACAGCAATCTCTGTTGTTACAGCAACCTCTGGTGCCCAAAATACTGTTACAGAAATCTTTGTTGTCTACTTTATTGTTATAGCAATCTCTGTTGTTACAGCAACCTCTGGTGCCCACAATACTGTTACAGAAATCTTTGTTGTCTACTTTATTGTTACAGCAATCTCTTTTTCCACATTATATCAGTCTCTGTTTTTTCACAGTATACAATGTAGTTACATCATATTATAGTTGAGCAAAGTCTTTCCTGTAGTATTGTTACAGCTACCGTTAATTTCTACTCCACCACACAAGAAGAAATCATACAGTCTTACTAAGTGTATGATAGAAAATGTTATGTAATATACTTAGATATTTGATATTTGTGAACAGCTACACAATACTTACAGCTATAGTACTTAAATGTCCACACCTGTTTAAGGGGGTGACTTAAGGTTGACAAGGGAGTCCATGGTTCTGCTTCTTTAGTGCCACAGGTTGTCTGATGGTTAGTCCTGTTTATGATCGCTCCATATTGAAAGGCCTATATATATTCAGTTATAAGATTACTTGCATTCATTGTAAAGTAGTTTCTTATCACAGGTTAAGTAATTTTAGTATTCTCCTGAAGGGGCAACTAATGTATTTTTAATCCCAATCCTTTATTAATCTGGTAAACCTGGCCTGGAACTGACTTTGCTCGGTAAATGTCAGTGGTCACTCTCTGACATTGGTTGGTCAGTAGTATGCCAGTGGTCAGTCTTTCTTAATGTGCTCTGCAAATGTCAAGTGGAGGAGTTGATATGTATTGATCCTGCACTACTACTTAATGGGAGGTTGTCCTTATTCCAGGAGGGACCAGTTACATATTGTTGGTTCTGTTGGTCAGTGTTTATGTTGGGACTAAAATCACCTGTGTTTAGCCAGTGAGACATTATGATCAGTATGCTAAATATCCGGACCGCTACTACCAGTGTTTGAGAACAGGTGTATGGAGGAGGTAGAAGGAATCATGGCGTGTGTTCCCTGTCATTCAATTTGCCACTAGATTATCTTATTAGATCAATGTTATAGATCTAGGATAAAAGTCTCCAGTATATACTCTAGGTGGCAGTGCTTACGGAGTATAGAATACATGACATTGATCAAGTCTGAGCTTATTTGTTGAATCAATGAACACTTTATCTAGTTCAGTATATAATCTACTGGTCACTTGACACTTTGTGGACACTTTCTTTTGTGACAGTGATTCTGTTTAGGATATTAAAGTCTCTTTATGACCATCAGAATGAGTGAGAGGCTATGAACTGTTCCTAAGTATCTGTTAAGCATAGCCAGATATAAGGTGTCAGGTGTCATACTGGGCTGTCATACACAACTATAAGACTGGTGGGTCAGGATACACTTTTATTTTGAATAGGTATAACACCTTAAGGAACCACACAATTGGTTTGCATTTAATAAGAAACCTTGAAAACAATATGTGATTATTTTGGCCATAAACATAAAGAAGTGTGGCAAGTGGCAAGTGCGACATGTTTTGATGGCATTAGGAATTTCTTTTCAACCATGGTAGGATTCTTAACTGCTGTCATCGGAGTAAAAGCCTTTTTGAAAGAATGTTAGGATTCTGATGGACTGTTTCAACCTTGTCTGGATTCTGAAAGGTTATCTTATGAAAGTTGAAATTCTACAGTATTAAATAGTTAGGAAAACTGTATCTTGTTAGATTGTGACGATGTGTGCTGACTTTACAGAATGCTATGGGGGTGACCCCCCGGCTGCTGACACAGCTACAGCTCAATCAGCAGATGAACATGTTGCGCGCCATGCAGGACCTGTCACCAATTCAAATGTACTCCAGTAGAATGATTCGCTTCAAACTGATGCAGAACCACCGCCGGCAGACCATGCCAATGCGACTGGCACAAAGGTTAGTTGAAATGGGGCCAAATGGAGGGTCAGGTTAATATAGAATATTATGTCTTTCACAAGAAATAAAAACATCATTGTTCCAACATCTCTCACTTTGTTTGGATTATCCAGCAACACAAGGACATTCCAGTTGATTCAAAATTTGGATTGCAACATACAACCAATTCCAAGTTTGCTACTAACACCTGACTCATTCAGAAAGCTGGACTAAGGCTTTTTTGCTAAAATTGATTTTCTCTTTTGTTAAAAATATTGATCTTTGTAGCTTTAAAATCCATTATTAAACATGTATTCTGATATATAAAGAACGTTTGGTCATAGTTACTCAATATTTGCAATAAATATTGAACATTTTTAATTGATTTCATCATAGAACATTCAGTACTGCCTTTAGTAAAAACAGGTAGTCATTGTAAAATTGATTTGATAATGGATTGGTACTTGTTTATCAGAAAGATTTTTTTTGAGCAGTTTTTTCTGAATGTTGGTGAAAAACAACTAGTGCCAACAACATAGGATCTATAGTATTGCCATATGAATAAAGTCAAAAGTAAACGAACCTGAATCAAAATGAAGCAAATATTGTATTTATACTTACGACTGTCACTTGTGCTATATGTTATATTGTATTTATACTTACAACTGTCACTTGTGCTATATGTTATATTGTATTTATACTTACGACTGTCACTTGTGCTATATGTTATATTGTATTTATACTTACGACTGTCACTTGTGCTATATGTTATATTGTATTTATACTTACGACTGTCACTTGTGCTATATGTTATATTGTATTTATACTTACGACTGTCACTTGTGCTATATGTTATATTGTATTTATACTTACGACTGTCACTTGTGCTATATGTTATTACAAGTCAAAAGTGCATCTGTTGTGTTGGTTCCTAGCTACTTCTTGTTTATTTACTGCATTGTAAATGGTATTTGTGACATAGGACATTATCAGATTTTGACATCATTGGATTTTGTAGTACCATTTTTTCCCAATTTATAACCTCAGAGATTGACAAGCTTGTGAGTGCCAGATCAAACGATCAGATTTAAATGTGACAAGTATTTGTTGTATTTATCTCATCTTTATCATAACACACCTGGTGGAGATAAAGAATTGAGAATCAGTTATGAAAAAGAAGCTGTTTTCAAACCAAGCCAACAAACTTATATTTTAAAACAGTTCTGCTAACAATTTGGTCAGTATTGATACACTATTGAAGAAAACACTCTAAAAGGACCTCTAATAATTCTTCAGTCAGAAAGAAATATGTTAAATCTTGCACATGCACACTTACTTTCTATTTTCGTTTTATTAGTTTTACACACACAGTATGCTGGAAAATTTGTTTGTAGTCTTTTCTTTTTATTAAGAATAATGAAACTTGTTAAACATTTTTCATTTTACAATATTTGATTAACTCATCATAATTAAACGAATGTATATCTTTTGTTTTTGTTTTTTTCTGTTTGGTTTATGTTCTATCTAACGTAAATTGAAAACTTGAGTAAGATGTGCTTTGGTGTTTTTATTTTTCATTTTCCATATCTAACTTTTGGTGATTATCATGGAATTGAATGATCAAGGAGACAAAAATATGAATCATAAATTTATCAGTATTATGGTATACAGGTAGAGGAGAATTTCATATTTTAAAGGGACAAAATGTGAAATGTTTTAAGTCATTATATTGACTGAGTAACTGTGAAAAACCTGTCAGTAGTGACATATTGTCATTAAGGCTTAGTCTGAATTGGTTCTGTGAGAAAATTGTGTCTGTCAGTGCCTTCATGTGAAATAACTAGTGTTTTCACTTTCCTTTTGTCACATTGTATTGGGAATATAACAGTGTTGGAACAGTAGTACTTTCTAGTAAATGAAAAGCAATTTTAATTGTCGAGCAGCAATCAGTCATAAAGCAAGTTTATTGCTTGTCAATGTATGATTGTTGTATACAACCTGGGTAGTCGTCAGATAGACAGATATATCACACAAGTACAGGGTGTGTCAGGTCACCGTCAGTAATGGAAACATAATAGGTACAATCAATAGTAAACAGCATGGAATGGAAGATAACTCTAGAATCCTGGCAAACTTTGACAAGAATATTTCTTAATAATTACATTAAGTACATTTCGTAAAGTTAGTTTATTGTTGTTTTATATCCTACCAACAGCCAGGGTCATTTAAGAATGTGCCAGGTTTGGGTTGTGGAGGGAAGCTGGAGTTTCCGGAGAAAAATTACTGACCTTTGGCTAGTACCTGGTGACTGCCCCAGGTAGGCCTCTAACCCGCGACCTAGAGTTGGAGGCCTAGTATAAAGACAGTCAGGTGCTTTAACCACTACGCCACTGTAGCCCCCATAAAGGTTCATTAAGTAGTAGAATGGACTGATACTTGCCAATTGTACATACTGAACTGCAAAGTTTGGTAAAGAAAAAACATTCATTTTGAAGTGAATGTGAAAGATACCTGGCAGTTGTGGAAAACCTGCCCCTGCTGTTGTATGTCAAAAATGTCTGTTTACAGCATTCTCAGAAGTTTTTCTTTCAGTATGTCTTGGCTGATGACTCTTTCTTTTTCAATTTTTATTTGGATGGTACTGGCCTCCATTGCCTTTGTATTTTTTTTGTAACCTGACATCATGCCTTGTTCTTTCCCTGGTCTTAAGAAGTACTGACAAACAGTTAACCATGCAGTGAAACTCGCAGGGGTAAAGCTTTGCTCTCTCAATATCTCAGTATGGACAAACAGACAAGGCTATTGAAATAGCCAGGTGTTATATAACCATTACAAAGTTGCCAGCCATTGAATTAAAGAATTTTTTTGTTGTCAAAGAAATTGTACACACGTATTTGATATTATATCCCCTACAATGAAGATGTGTGGAGATGGGGGGGGGGTGTTTGTTGTTTGTACTGTAATCACCCTGGATGTCACAACTCCTCCTTTACTTATGGGCAGATTTCAATCGAATATGAAACTGCAACTGCAAAAGAACTTTAAAGGCCATGTGTAGCTGTGCATGCATGTTTTCTTTTTACAGAAATTTTGGTTTCCTTGATAAACTGGTCACTATACACTGTCTTTTCTGTAAAGCTCATCAGTCCTTAGATAAATTTTCATGAAATTAGGTCACAATGTGTAGCTTATAAAACTTGGATGAAAGGTGTATTTAATTTAACACATCAGGGCCAGGTTGTTCAAATGCTGGCTAGAGATAACCAGTGGTTAGGGAAAATTTTCAGAAGTGAATGAAACAAAATTGGAAAGTTCACAGCTGTAGGTTTGTTATGACAGGTCAAATTTATTGATGTATTTTGAGTCTTGATTTTGCATTTGACACTCTTGTTTGTTCAATGGCAGCAATTTGAATCTTGCACTAAGTAGTGATTAATTCTAACTTACTTTTGAGCAACAGGGCCAGATGTTTTCAGAACTATTACTATGGAAACAAAATGGAGGCTTCTACTTGGTTGAAATAGAAAAATTGTTTGATTATGCTTAAAATTGATGTGTTAGGACTTTAAAGAATGTTATTTTCAATGGGACTATTTTCCAAAACATTTGATATCATTAAATTGCCAAAGTACCAAATAAGATCTACGATTACATGGATCTTGACTACACCTTAACTGAACTAGGAAACTAATTTCATTGAAAGTATACAGAAATATTTTGGCCATAGGTAGATGTGCCCTTAGAACAATTTTATTCTAATTTCATTGAAATGTGCAGCTATTTAAAGCCTTCAATTTTAGACATCAGATATCTTCAAAGTTGTAACTATGGACACAGATATACATTGATACTATATGCCATGGTATCTAAAAGTAGACCAGTATGATGTGACAAAAATGTTTTCCAAACCGCCATGGTTACCAAAAGTAGACTTGTATGATGTGACAAAAATGTATTCCTAACTGCTGCTTCTAACCTTGTAAGTTGTGAACCGAATTCATTGAAACTACTGGCCAATAATAGGAACCATGCAATTTTTTTACCCTTGAATCGATGGATTTCATGAAAAAATTACATATGGATGATTGGAAAATAGGTTTTGTATAAACGCTTTTTGTCTGCGGAGGGAAAGGGTTGTTTCTTATCCTCAGGATGACCATTGTAGTTTTTATCATTAACAAATTTTAGAGAAAAAAAAAAAATTTTGAGTGAAGACGTTGTAACAGATTTTACCACCAAAGATATCACATAGTGATGACACTATCGCCAACATTTGCTTTTTAATGGTCGCTAGACACTGGTTTCTGGACAAGAAAATTTTACAGAACTCTGCTAAGCTTTGGAAGTTCTTTTGTGATGGCAGAATCAGTTGGTCTTCAGTATTTCCTGGAGTTTAATTCAGGATAATATACACAAAAATTGTGAAACATCCTGAAAAGAGTAGTGATTGGATTTCTGTAAACCAACTTATTTTTGTGCAATTGGTTTTTGTGAACTTTGCAGGAGATCAAAATTCACAAAAAATAACTGCCAACAGAATGGTTTCAATCACAGATACAGTGGACATGTAAACTTAAGCCTATTCAACTGACAAATTACTGGCGTGTCATGAATCTCATGAAATAGTAATAATTTCATATATGAAAGACAACGACAATAACAACGAAAATTTTATTTTACTTACTTTGAAATAAAGCATGAAGCAAATAAATATTTTACAAGTCAGTCACAAAAGTACCTGTACAGCATGTCACCACATGTAGACCATTACCAGAAGTCACATATGTATCATCTCATAGATACATGTAGCTAGACTTATAATTATAATTACTGGTATGATTTACTTGTTCAGTAAAACTGAGTGATGCTATCCATTCCTTAGACATCTGAGACTGACTATGGTTTTGTCCAAGCACTTAGCATGAGTGTATTTTATATTGAGATTTTGAGGTCACATATTCTGTCTCTTACTGATAACTATTCTGCATGAGGTTTGAGTACTGCTGAATGAATTGTGATTT